AAGGTGGTGGGATTTTAGGCAGGAAAGGGTAACAGAGATACACCCACAGCTATCACCGTATCAGTCGGCTACTTCTGCGATGTATGAATTCGTCGTGACTAAATTGATTATTTCCTTTGATTCTGGGATTATTAGCAATCCTCAGGATTGTCTCCCGAAAGCTGTCGATAACTGTACAGATAAGTGTGGAGGAATGGAGTGAGGAACTGCTACCACAGTGACGATAAGTGGGTCGATTACCGCAGCGATTCGATTCTCAAACCAGTATTGAGGTGGAATTTATAGGCTTGACACTGATGGACATGGCTCTCGTCCAGATCGGATCGTATTACATTTGCCACCCAGGAGGAAATCAGATTTAACACAAGTAGCCAACCATTTAGGTTCAGAGATCTGTCATCTCCCAATAGCCACCGCCAAGAAACATGGCTACCTGTAATAACGATTCGGTGCCTGTCCAATCATTGGAATTCCATGAGCCGATGTCTTGTAGCAGAATTCTTTGAAATGCCATGCCATACGTTTGTCATATGGCAAAAGTTTGGGATCGAATTTTCCTGTGATTATTTCACACTGAAAAAAGTATGTATATGGGAAATTCGAACAAGTTTTACAAGACCTCCCAGCCTCACCTGAACACCCGATTCGGACGAGTTGAAACATTCTCCATATCCAAAATCACCATAATATTCTCGTTCGGTAACGAATTTCGTCGTATCAGCATGAAGATATGCTTGTGGGTCGCCATAGATCTGAACAAGTGGATTACAAACAATTTAAATGAAATAATGGTCAGACGCAAAAAAAGGAATTGGAACAGAAGCCATGGCAGGACCTATGGGCCGCTGCTGCCCCTTGCCGGTTCTATGGATCAGAGCAAGAGTGAGACGGTAGCTGAACTGCTAATTTGAATAAGTCCTCTTTGTAGATCAGGTATCCTTCTTACTTTGGACGATAGGTTATCCAGCAGCCTGTACAAGTCCTGGGAAACACTATTGCCTAGATTTAGCCCAACAATAATGCGCACTACGCATCATGTTCTACAGTCTACCTGATCCGGTCTACATAGAAATTGCTAAAAACATTCGAGCAATTTTTGCTGCCTTCAGATTCACTACCGCCCCTCTACTTTATTCCACCCACTTTTGCCAGCGACTACATGAAGAAGGGTGGAGACTGAAGAATGGTTAACAATGAGGTGGTACCAGAAAACGTCAGGAAAAGGCGTAATCGATGTGAAGTAGATACAAAGAAATAAGGGAATGTAGTGTGAAAGATGGAGAAGGAGACCAATCTGGAGCGTATAAGATGGGGCCATTACAGAGGCAATCGATTCTGAGATCCCGTAAGGAACTGATACATTCGATTGAAGTTGGTCACTAATTGGATTGACCTATTTTAGCAGTGGATAACGGCAATGGCTAGTAGATATCTAAATGTCGTGTTACTTCGAACCTGTTTCATATACTCTGCTGAGTCCTGAAGTCTCTGCCAATTCTTTAGATTTTGAATCCATGCCATACTTCTACAAGGGAAGAATTGCGAGTACCTGAAAATCTCACTTACCATTAGTTTCAAGTACATTAGGGCATTCAAACTCATGCTTATTGCTTTTGCTTGTTTTCCGTGCAATTCCTCCCAAGATTTCACATATGTATGTGTGTTAGGAATACGGTTATACAGAACTGAACTGATTGCGAAGAAAAAGACAGAAACGAGCAGAAACGATATTAGAGGATATCTTAGTTCAATACTTTTTAGGCTCTGCATAGGAACGGAGTTCACGGCGCTCTCTGAGGTGGTTGCCTATGGCTATACAACTCAGCTAAGCTCATTGGGATGAATTTATTTTCAATGGTTGAAATAACAAGTTGGAAATATGTTGCAAAATATCCTTCGATTTCACATTTCTGTGTAGGGCTAGAACTCATCTGCGAGACGATTATTGAATGTTGCCAGCTGCGCAAGCGTCATAATAATAAGATAAAAAGGTGGAAAAATAGAGAAATAGAAAAGGGTTTGTAATGTCAAAAGCTAAGACACCTCAGAGAAGCAAATCGCGCAGTGTCTATTGAGGTTTTCACACTTGATGGATCAAGAAGTGAACAAAAGAGCTTCTGATGGCGAACAAAAGAGCTTCTGATGGCCAGCAAACACCTACAGGAATTCGAAAAGAGATGATGCGGCTGGAGTTCAAGAGTTGCTGAGCTAGTGGATCGGAGTCTGGGGCTCCCAATGATGAAATAGATGCCGTTCTGTCTGGAATGGATGATAGACAGCAGATGTGCACTCTTCTTTGCTACATAGGCATTGAAAATGCATTGAAACGCCTTAATCGTCACGAAGGGACCACACACTCGTTTTCTTTCCAGTTAGTAAACGTGATACTCTATAGTTACTTGAAAAGGGCCGGTGAGAACATACAGGATAAATTTCGAGTTTGATTGATCTGCATGGCATGAGCCATACATTTGTCTTAAGCTCGGAATCATAGAAGGACTTGAAACTACATCTGTCATTCGATAATCGATAAATAAACGGTTTTAATACCTACTTCAGTTTTTAAACAGCTCAAGTTCTCAAAAACTGACTACATGATGCAGAATTCAGTCTCGTTTGTTGGGACCATTTGAGACTTCTCCTTATTAAGGACAAACGTACCACACTGCTGTATCCATTAACCGATATGGCTGAAATAAGCCTGCAATCATTCCGCACTTTTCACTAATTCTCTTGAGCCCGTGAGTAGCAGCTGATATAGAAAGATTCGGCCCTCCTAATTCTTTGAATAAAGGAACTCACCCTGAAGCTTTCGTTCTTTTCACCCAGCGCTTTTCAGTGGATGAAGAACACAAGAGTAAAAGTCGTACACAACACCATTGAAACACCATGCAAGGGCAAGATTTCTTTTCCAAAAGTGGCCAAGTTGAGAAAAACGATAACTTCG